AAACTTACTTCAGGAAGGAAAAAAGTAATTTCTTCTCCTGCACACGTACACGTTCCGCGAGGGGCGGCAATGAACTAAGGAACAAATGCCGCTCTATCTAGCGGATTTCGCCTCGCGGTCATACACACGTACCTTTTATAGTTTAAGAAATATTCACGATGTTACAACTGTACCCTGTTACTTTTGTCCCCGGTCTACCCTATATAATTAAAATTCAAAGATCAGGAAAAAGAACGCGAGAGAAGAGAACAGGAGAGAAGAGATCAGGAGAGAAGAGATCGAAAAAAAAGAGATCGTGAAAGAGAACGGAGAGAGAGGGACCGAGAAAATGTGGAAGAGGAAGAGAAAAATGAAGAACGAAAACGAAGTATAGAGGCGGAAGAGGAAAGAAAAAGAAGGGAAAGGTTAGTACACTGTTATTTGTAAATTCCAAAATGTAAAGAAACTCAAGCATCAATTTTGATCCGAAATCTTTTTTGAATCTAAATCAATTTTGGATTATTTCAATAATATTAGGATATTTATTTAATCGTAACTGTGTAATAATTATAAATATATATATAATTGAAAAAAAAAAAGAGAACGAGAAAGAGAACGAGAAAGAAGAGATCGAGAGAGAAGGGATTGTGGAAGAAAACGGAGAAAGAGGGACCGAGAAAATGTGGAAGAGGAAGAGAAAAGTGAAGAACGAAAACGAAGTATAGAGGCAGAAGAGGAAAGAAAAAGAAAGGAAAGGTTAGTACACTGTTATTTGTAAATTCCAAGATATGTAAAGAAACTCAAGCATTTATGTAAAGAAACTCAATTTTGATCCGAAATCTTTTTTGGATCTAAATCAATTTTGGATTATTTCAATAATATTAGGATATTTATTTAATCGTAACTGTGTAATAATTATAAATATATATATAATTGAAAAAAAAGAGAACGAGAAAGAGAACGAGAGAGAAGAGATCGAAAGAGAAGGGATCGTGGAAGAAAACGGAGAGAAAGGGACCGCGAAAGTGTGGAAAATGAAGAGGAAAAGGAAAAAGATACAGATGATTCCGGTAAAAAAATTTGTTATTAAAAAACATGAATATATAAAGTTATATATATATATACACACACACACACACACACACACACACACAAACATATATATATATATATATATATATATATATATATATATATATATATACTAGAAAGGAGAATTTAAAAATAATTAAAAAGATCATTTTTGCATTACATTTTTTACAAAAAGTGAATAAGTTTGAAGAAAATACTAAATCAACATTTCTTTACCTTATCATTATAAGGACGCAAAGGAGGTTGGGAAGAGGGAAGAAGAGCACGCAGATGTGGTTGGGGAGAGAGAGGAAGAGGACCCAGAGAAAGTTGGGGACGGATAGGAAGAAGAAGAGGACGCAAAAGAGATTGGGCAGATTGGGCAGAAATTTGGGAAAGAAGAGGACGCAGAGAGGGTTTAAATGAAAATTGGAGAGCGAGAGGACGCAGAGGGGGTTGGAGAGCGAGAGGACGCAGAGGAGCCCTTGTTTTTATATACCTAAATTTATATTTGAAATAAAAATTTAAAAAGTATAAAAAATTGTTTCTTCTTTTCTTCATTCTTATTATTTTCTTTGCGCTTTTTACTTTTCTTTACTTCATTCTCCGCTGCTTCTTTCTTCGCTGCTTAATCTTCATGATTTTTGTATCTCAGGATAGGACTGGAAGACTAGAGAAAAAGAAAATATTTATGTATTGTACATTGTACATATCTGTGTAAAATAAAAATAAATCAGTATCCAATATCTGTAAAACAAGAATAGAAAATAATTATTAACCCTTAAATGCCACCCGGGGTTCAGCGGACCCCAGACCCTTTACAAATGATATATTTTCAAATGTTCCCTCCAAAAATGGAGCTCATGCTCCCATTGATGATAGTTGAGTGATTGACCTACCCGGTTGTACACTTAGCAGTACTCAATTTACTTAATCTTTTATACTATGTTGAAATTGAAATTTTAACAATATAAGCATTTTATTCTCTTTTCTAAGCTTTGAACAACATTAAAAATAATTTTCATAACTAAATATCAAAAAATCAATGAGTAAGGAGATATTTTTCATGCTGGGGTCTTTTAGATCCCATGTGTCATTTATGAGATTCTTGAAAGGTGTGGCATTTAAGGGTTAAATTTTTTTATATGAAAATATTTTTTATGTAGAGTTACGTAATTTTTTAAATAAAATATTTAATTAAAAGGCTAGAAGACTACAAATAATTAAGAATTTATGAAAAGAGTAAAAGAGAATTAAGAATAAGAAGTTAATAATAGTGACGTAATAATTAATTTTTAAAATATTGAAATTTGAAATATTATTTTAGACATTAATTTAAATATATTTATATTTTACAGATCGATATTGTATACAATTCTATTCCTGCGCATCGTAGCGGTAAGTGCATATAATTATGTATATTCTATTTTAATGTAAAGGTAACAAATTTATAAAAATTATACGAAACATAAGTAAGATATAAATATGAATATGATATGAAAAAAGACCGGAGATAGTAAACAGTATTTTTTTCTTAACAATTATTAATATATAAAAATTCTGCAACAATGATAGATACAGTAGTAAAATATCTACAAACTTCTTGATATCTGAATGCATTTATTCCTTGGTTATCAATATATTTTAAAGAGAACAATTATCAGTTAAGTGTATAAGAAAATATTATATGTAGATAAGTATATCACATAAATTTGTTGTCTTTTATAAAATATGGATAGGCCAGGACAGAGCACTAATTTTTAATCCTGGAATAATTATTATCTGTCGAATTATTGTATGTGCATACCAAGGCTACATAAAATAGAGGGAGCTATGAAATAGAGTTCCTTAAAATTGACACATTGTTGTTCAATTAGAATTAGATCATTTATTGAACATTTACATGCAACAGAACTTCATAAAACGATAGAATAAATTACTTATTTTATAGATATATATAAATCACTTAAAATTTATAAAAAACTTTAATTTTGAGATACACATCAGAAATTGGAAAAAGATGGGAAATACAGTTCAATATTAATATAAATTTATTAACATATGTAATTTATTAACACAGAATAGACGAACAGAGAAATAGCGTTGAGGAACTGTAATGAAATTTTATTCTATATTCTGCATGCCATGTGAACAATGCATATGTTAATATTAAACTGTTCCTTATTCGGTTATTCCTTATTCCCTGTTCCCTGTTTTCTGTTCCTTTCATTGTGTGCAGCCCCTATAACGCTATAGGTTGAATTACTGAACGCAGCCCAACAAAAAAGGACAGTTGACCGCAATTCTCCCTCTCGCTCATCCCTTTTTCTTCGCGAGTAGAATGAGTCGAGTTCTGGGTAGCAGAGCCGCAACGGGCACGGATCAGTTCGGACGTGTTTTGTCCGGAAAAAATTTTTTTAAGTATTGCGACTATTACTGTCTGCATTGTGAGTCCAATTAAATTTATTGAGTCAGTGCAACTGAAAATTAAGACACGCCTTACGGCTCATACGCCTTACGACAATTGGTTTGTCCTGGCCATATTAAGAGCAGTACTGCTCAAAGGCCATATTACAAAGAAGAAGAAGAAGAAGAGTTCTGGGTAGCAATCATGTATATAACTTTTTCATCCTTAGAGCGGAAACGTGAAAAGTGAAAAGTTTCATGTAACTATAATAATCTCTTTCTATTAGTGTTGAATAGAAAGAGATAAACTCTCCACTTTTCACGTTTACGTCCTAGGGGAAAAAATACATGATTGATCCCCAGATTCTAGTTTAGTACCTAGTTCTCTGCGTGTAAAGTATCAGTGCTATCATTTCAAAAAAATTTCAACATTTGGTAGCCATGTTTATTCTTAAATATAAGCTAGTATAAAAAATAAAAAAAATTTTTTATCAAAAGTTTAGTTTACCATATATAATTAATTTTTAATTATATTATTGTATAAATAGCTAACGGAAGATTGAGCGATTATTCAAAATGTCAGTTATTGTTTATTTCAATTAACATTCATAGAACCAATGCGATGCAACCAATGTTTCACACTATTAAGAGATTACAGGACTCTGACAGAAGTAAAAATTAGGAAAAATTTGGGTTGCGAATTGTAAAAAGTTATAAATTAATAGAGGTATGAAATTGTTGTTACGTATGTTTATTAAGTACATTCAATATGCACAATATCTTGATATAAAGAATTGTATTTTATATTGAGTATTAACATCATTGTGTCCATTTTTTAGAATAACATTTTTTTTAAACTGTAACGATAACTTGAGAACGTTATTCGGTTAATTTCATATTTAATACAAATGTTTACCATAATTGTCTACAAATCAGTTCACAGGGGCTTTTCGCATTATAACCATTAGTTATTTATTTATTTTACAAGTTCGAATTTTTTAGAACTATTGTGTATTGAGAGTAACTGTAAAAAATTTCATGCAAATCGGTTTACTAGTTTCCGAGATATTTCTGGTACCGATTTTTAAAAGCACTGTTTCGAGAAAATTGCGTTTAAAGTTTTACGTGACAGTGACACTAATAATAGCTGCATGCTGCGGATAAATTGTTGAATGAAATTTTTTTTTCTTTTGACGAGCAGCCTTCTCGTTATCCCTTTTTTACTCTTTGATCTTCGTTCGTACGTCTTTCGACGAACTCTGCATGAAACGTTTCCGGACCTATGTTTATAGAAACTTTTTTTGCCCCACATTCAATTTTTTAGAAAACCCTGTAATTTTATTGATCTGACCTGGAACATCCTGTATATATGTATGTATACACTCAACGATATATGACAATTATTGATGAAGTAACACCTAAGTCTGAAATAAGCAATGTCTAAATTATTATCATATCCTGTAGCCTCGATCCTAATAATGTAAGATTCTATCTAATTTATAAAGTAAGAGAAAATTAGAAAATGTTTGTAACGCGATCAATATTTCTTTTCTAAAAATATTTTCTGATTCTTACATCTAAAATGATATTTGAATGATCTACTAAATGTTTTTATCTTGATATAAAAAATAATAGGAACCGTTTCTACTGTCCTAAATATTTGAAAATAAACGGTAATCTAAATATCAAGAAATTGGTGCAGTTAAATAGACAAGTAAATATCTGATATTTAGAAATAGATGTGTTAATTGATTGTTTAAAACGTTTAATATCTCAAAATTAAAAAAAAATTATTATATTACATCGGAAATATAAACGTCTAATCCTTTTAGATCTTTCAATTTATATTGAAAAATTAAAGAAGCTAGTATTAACCCTTAAATGCCACACCTCTCAAAAATCTCGTAAATGACACATGGGGTCGAAAAGACCCCAACATGAAAAATGTCTCCTTACTCATTGATTTTCTGATATTTAGTTATGAAAATTATTTTAAAAGTTGTTCAAGGCTTAGAAAAGAGAATAAAATGCTTATATTGTGAAAATTTCAATTTCAACATAGTATAAAAAATTAAGTAAACTGAGTACTGAGTAGGTAAAGTAAGGGCGTTCTAGGCCAGTTTGTCGTGGGGGGTATGACGTCACCGGCGTGGTGGGGATGACGTCATCGGCGTGAAGAGGGGATGACGTCATCTGCGTGGAGGGGATGGCGGCATGTTTCCATCATTAATTAAATAATTATATTAATTAAATTAGGTTATAAAAATTATATTAATTTATAGGTTATAAATAATTAAATTAATTAAATTAGGTTACAAGAATCATTACATGAATCATAACCTAACTCAATTAATTTAATTATTTATAATCTATAAATTAATATAATTTTTATAACCTAATTTAATTAATATAATTATTTAATTAATGATGCAAACATGCCGCCATCCCCTCCACGCAGATGACGTCATCCCCTCTTCAGGCCAATGACATCATCTCCACCACGCCGGTGACGTCATACCCCCCACCACAAATTGGCCTAGAACGCCCTTACTTTACCTACTGTACTGCTAAGTGTACAAACGGGTAGGTCAATCACTCAACTATCATCAATGGGAGCATGAGCTCCATTTTTGGGGGTAACATTTGAAAATATATCGATGTAAAGGGTCTGGGGTCCGCTGGACCCCGGGTGGCATTTAAGGGTTAATCGTATATATTTTATTTATTCTCATAATTATTGGTGGACTTGCACAGTCTCGAAAAAAATGTACCGAAATTTGAAAACTCGTATATTGTCCCAAAAAGTCAAAATCCCAAAATTTATGAAACGTGACAATGTGCCGAAAGGGCATTATCTCGAAATCTTAGAAACGTGACAATTACTAGAGTAAGTTATCGTAAGTTACTACAAAATTCCGTTTACGCGAAGGAATTATCGTAAGTTACTAC